AGAACTCTGGTCCTCACGCTTGAGTCACAAGTAGGCGAGCGCTTTACTGAGTTACCAACCCATCTCCTACAACCCGGCCTCCAAAAAACCAAGAAAAAGATCCAATTACTTTATTTAACCAGGACCACAGCGCACCTCGTCCTTGTCCACTTCGCTCAGGCTGTGACATTAAGAAGAGGGTCCAGCAGGCCTGCTGTGAGGATATCATCACTGGGAGAATGGGGACATTTCATAACACAGTGATGAAGGGAGAACAAGGACCTGAAAGCCTAGACCAAACAGAGTCTAATAGTTGGGCAGTCTCCGGGCCAGGAGCTCTTTCTCATAGCGACTCCATTCTCAACTTGACTGAAGAAGCAGAGGGAGGAAGTCCACTGTTCCTTAGAAATAAACAGATGCTCACCACCATGCTGATATTGGAACTTTTAAAAGATATCCCAAAGGGAAGGTCTCTGCATATCTCAGAAGCAAGGTCTCTGCAAAAGCGTTCCCTCCTGTTTCCTGGTCCTAGTTCTCTGCCAAGGGCAAGGCAACCAACATGGAATCTCTCTTCTCTGGGGTGAGCCACATAATACTAGGACTCCTCTTTCCCCAAAGCAAGCCATAAAACCTCAAAAGATTAATCTAACAGATTCTGTGTGTTTTGCGATGGCAATAAAGACATTCTCTGACCTACCTTGTCTGATGGTAGATCTAAGCCCTTCTTTCCATAAGCAGTCCTGCCCACACCCCGGAGGGAAGAATGCTGCTCAGATAGGTTTAAAGAATCTAAACAGTCTTTGCTGCTTCCCCACCCCCATCCCCCGCTTTGGAATGTACCCTCTCTTCCAGTGCTATGTCCTCTGTAGCCATCTACTCTTTGCCAGATCTACGATGTCTTTGACAATACACGCTGAGTCTTTGGGTCTTCAATCTGAAAGCTTCCATGGCATTTAAAACTAATCAAATGAAAAAAAAAAAAAACTAATCAAAGGAATCTGTTTTGCTTTTCTCTTGTTAACTTGTCTTTTGCTTTAGGGGTGTGGACCACAAGAAGGAAAGACATCATTCCACCCCTAAGCTGGAAAGAAGCCTCAGCAAGAGGAAGTTTCCCCTACGTTTCCGCACATCCCGGCAAAGGCTTCCCCCAGATTGCACAACTGCTTCCTACAAATGCCTAGTGTATTGAACTCATCCAAAACCTAAGTTTTCCCCCCACGGTAGACAACTGCACCAACTTGTCAAGAAAGCAACCTCAGGCTAAAGGATACTACTTGATGGGTAAAGCTCCTATTCCTAAAACCCACATAAAAGCAGGCCATAATCGACAACCCAAGTCTGAAATCCCAGGGCTCCTACAACAAGAAGCGAAGCAGAGACAAGAGAAAGCCGTGTCCCTCTGATCCCAGATAGTCTGGCCTATGCAGCAAAAAAACAGCGAAGGAAACCCGGCTCAAACAATAAAGCTGTCAAGGACCACATCCAAGACTAATCTCTGAATGACTCCCACACCCAAACATCATGCTTGCACACACACAAAAAAACACACACCCCCAAACCTGCTTGCACATAGACATAAACACACACACATCCAAAAATGTTTATGCACACCCCAAAACATGCTAACACACAACCCCAAATATGCTTACCCACACACACCCAAGCATACCTACACATGCACACACACACACACACATTTGGAAACTCCCCACAAGCAGTGAAGCTCTAGAAAGTAGATGAGGAGCTCACATTGTACACACTCCCAACCTTGAATCACCCTCAAGTGGAGACTTAGGCTGCCCATCTAATTTAGCAGCGAGGAAGAAAGATGAGGTGAGTGGACCCCAGAACATTGCTCATCCTGTTTTTGTCCTGATGTTGTTGTTGAAAAGCCTTTTTATCTCCATCCCAACACCATCATTTAGTCTCATGCTCAAAAGAAAGTATTGTCTCCCTTGTTGGGAAGACTGAATGAGCCTGTATGGTCCACGCTGACTTAGTTACAATCACACTCGTGAATAAGAGGACACATTTGGCCATGTTCACACAAAGCAACAAAACCACAGACTTGGCATTCCTCATCTGTTTCTCAAGACCTGCCCCCAGATCAACAAAATCATAATCTCCACAATCAACTCAAGAACCTCTCGACCAGTCAAGTTCTCCAGGCAATTCTAACATGCAATCAAGTTGGGGGTGAATACTGTGTTCCTTTAGACACATCACACAAAGTTTCTGCTCATACCAATCATGGGACATAAAGCTGTTCTGGTCCCATCTTTCCTGGGATACATGCTGTGAGAGGATAATTTTATATCAACTTGATACAAACTAAAGTCATCTGAGGGGAGGGAACCTCAGGTGAGAAAATGCCTTCATATGATGGGGCTTCAGCAAGACTGCAGGGCATTTTTTTTAGTTGATGTTTAATGAGCCCAACCCATTGTGGGTGATGCCATCCCTGGGCTGTGGGTCCTGGGTTCTAAAAGAAAGCAGGCTGGGTAAGTCACATGAAGCAAGCCAGTAAGCCACACTCCTGCAAGACCTCAGCATCAGCTCCTGGCTCCAGCTTCCCGCCCTTCAGTTCCTGTCCTGTCCTGAAAGTGATGTGGAAGTGTGACCCAAATAAACCCTTCCTCCCCGGTTAGATTTTAGACACAGTGCTTCTTCACAGCAATAGTGACCCTAATTAAGTCACACACACACTAAGACTCATAGGAATGTTCATCCATAAACACATGCAAAAATACACACAAGACATATAGATAGACATACATAAAAGTGAAAATCGGTTGTAGAAGGAAGCTAACCAAAAAGATGGAAAGGGTACATCTGATAATAAAATGTGTCAAATTTCGAGACCTAAAGAATAATTGAGACTTTTAGAAGGAGGTGCAAAATGAGGAGCGGGTAAAATGTCCAGACAAAGAGCAGGCTTCTTGGAAGACTCCTGATATGAGACCATTCATCACTTACGATTCTACATCAGCAAGGAACTCCTCAGAGCTTACTCTCCCCCAACATGCACGCACACACATGCGCACACACACATACATGCACACATACACTATCAAAGGTCAATGACAGATCCATCAGAGCTGCACCCAAAACTAGCACAGTGCCTGATCTCTAGCTGCCTGCTATCACTAAATGTGTGTTGAGCACAGACCAGGATAAAAGGTGGTAAACAGTAAAAACAACGAACATCCCCAAAGGAAAAAGAGTGCTTGTCCCAGATCCCTGGGGCAAAACTAAGAATAAGTCAGCTTAAGGTAATGAGATTCAGCACAAAACAGAGAAAGTTCATGTCCCTGCAGGCATCATTAACTGCATCACACAGAGCAGAACCACCTAGGGAAAAAGAGAAAAAGCCCTGCAGATCTGTGGTCAGGGTCTGCATCAGTGAGAAAACAGATCCTGCACTACAAAGGCTGCCTGATGGACAGGCCAATGGAAGGCATAGCTTCCCTGTTTAACCCCCTTCATAGACCCTAAAGTCCGTGGGCCTCCCTAACCAGACCCATACAAGCTGTCCCTCTCTTGGTGCCTCTCCTCCACAGGCATTAGGCTGTCTTGTTCTTTTAAACCTGACTTAACCTGAACCTGGGATGCCCTCTGTCTACTGGCCGCTACTCCATCCTTCTCAATTTAGTCGTTGTGTCCTCTCCAGGAAGCCCAGGTTCTCATGACATCCAATGCAGGGAACCCACTTGGCTGTGTCCTGGACCATGGGTAAGTAAAACCACCTAGGAGCAAAACCCGGACCTCTGAATCCCATGCCACCTCACACATAGGCAAGGTATATACGAGCTAACTAAATGCTTGTTTTGATCAACTAACATTGGCAAGATGCCAAAACACAAGCCCGTGTACTTGGTTAAAAGGGCGTCCATAGGGTCCAACTGGGAAAATTCTGAATGCGGAGGTCTGAGTTCAAAACCAAAATGATCTAAGTAAGACAAAATATTTAAAGACTCGACCTGTTTCCCCATCTATGAAATAAGAACAATATTCGACAACTATTTATGAAGAAAGCACCCACTATGAACTCAGCACACAGTAGGCCCTCCTTAATACTAAGCGATGAGAGCCCCTCCCACTCAACACACTGGTGTTCATTAGTCTTCCTCCTTCGGACCACAAGCTCCTTCAAGGCCTTCTCCCACCCCTACAGAGCGCCTTGGATTCATAAGGGTTGTTTAGCTGCCAGCAAATTCCCCCAGAGGCCTCGCTCTGTTTCGCCTGTTCAAGGCTGTGGAAAAGGACAAGGGCTCTTAATCTCAAGAGTGAACCTGTAGGGGGAACCTTCCACTCCTCTGGGCTGCGCTGCTGGACAAGAGTTAGAAAGGCCACTTGGGTTCCTATTTCCCCAACTCCCCGCCCATAGGAAGGTTTCTGTTCTTAGCGGCTCATTCGTGGTGCTCGGAACACAATCAACTTCCAACGCAGCTAAAGGGCTGGGGAACAGGTTACAGAGTCAGGAGCTACCAAACCAGGCTGGGTGGGCAGGGAAGTCTGGGGAAGCTACTGTGAGCTTGCTGGTGTTGCTCACGTGCGCAGCGCACCGGGGTCATCAGCCTCCTCCTCTGGGGCCTGGCAGCAGAGGGAAGGAGGTTCGCACATCCACCAGACTTCGCATGGGTGCCAGCATCGCCCACCCAGTCAACCTCCAGGGACCCTCCAGCGGCACCCACCGACCGCCAGTCCCAGGGTAGGTGGTCCGCAGCGCCCCCTCGGCCACCGGACTGCTACTTAAGTTGGGAGCCCCGCTGGGTCCACGAGCGCGCGCCCACCACCCGCGCCCACTGCCACTTATACACACCAAGGAACTGCGCCCGGAGCTTCTTAAATTCCTCAAGCACCTCCCCATAGTCGCATCCCGCGCCAGTTACCTACTCGCGGCACCCAGACCCCCCCCACACACACACACACATGCTTTGGAACCCTCAAACCTCGCGCATAGACCTCGCGCCCTCCCACCGGGCAGTGCCCCGAGCCCTGCGCGCCACCAAACGGCATACCTTGGGGGTCTGCACTTCGGGTCCCACCGGCACCTCCAACTTCCTCTTGGTGACCCAGAAGAACAACAGCACGGTGATCCAGAGCACCCCGAAGATGGGCAGCGCCAGGCGGCGAGTCAGGCGCCGCATGGTCCCCTCTGCCTGTTCCTCTCGGCGGCGACGCGTCCCTGGGGCACCCCCCGGCGGTCAGGGGCGGCGGGGCACGAGTCGCCGAGCGCCTCTCTCTAAGAGAAAAGCTTCTCCGGGGATCCCGATGTTGGGTTGTGGGATCCTGCCCCTCCTGCTTCAGAGAGAAGCCACAGCAGGGGACCAAGCGGCGAGGGGCGCCGGAGACTCGAGACGCGGCCGGGAAGGGACGAGGGGCAGCTCAGTAGGGCGCCCGCTCCAGCCGGAGAGCCGCGGTGACCGCCGAGATGCTGCTGCGCGCCGCCGTGGCTGCCTTTGCCCGCGGCCGCCGCGAGGGAAACCGCCTGGAGCAGCCGGGAAGGTAGAATCCGAGGCTCTGCCCGGCACCCCAGGAGGAGCACGAGGAGGAGGGAGCGCGGAGGGAGGGCGGGCCCGACAGACAGACTGACTCCGAGCAAGAGCTGGGCGGGAGGGAACCTGGCTCTGAGAGGGGGCTCTACCGCCTCCCGCCGACCGAGGAGCACCGCGCGGTTGAGGGACCTTGGACGCAGCTCTCCGGACCGTCCCGGGCTAGAGCCCTGCGGGTCGGGATGGGGCGGCGTGGGGCGGGGACGGGTTACCGGAATGCTAGCTACTCCTGCTGCAAGCTGATACTTAAGGTTCGCACCAACCCGCGCCAGGTGAGGCACTGCCTGGGAGGAGTTCCCGATCCATGCAGGGCTCCGCATGTGGAACTCCCATTAGGATCCCTAACCCGCAGCCAACATTGGGATAGTGGGGCTGACCCAGATGCTGCCTCAAGTCCAGGCTCACTTGCTTGACCATTCAGGGCCAAGGTCAAGTTCAATCATCTCCCTAGGGCATTTCTTTGCCTTTGAGCAGGTGCCTGGCAACTTTCTCTGCTTAATGGAAAACTGAGCCGGTCTAAATTTAACTTGAAAGATGTCCTTTTAAAAATTAAGGCAAGATTATCTCCCTGAGGAGTTTTCTCTCCTTGTAAAGTATTGGGACTTGCTGGAGAGGGGACCTAAAGTTAGGGCAACTATAAGAAGCTGCGAGAAAATAACCGTGGGAGTGTGAACACCAGGTACACGGGAGTATCTTTCAAAATTCCTTTCCCAAAGGCTTTTAAGGAATATGCCCTCCAGCCACAGACTAAAGTCGTTCTGAATCCAGTTTCTGCATAGGCCTCAGGTAGGCTGGAATTCTAGCCCTATCTGTAAATTAGGAAATGGTTCCTAACACAGTCTACCACACCAACAGTGCCAATCACAACTGCATCCCTTCCCTTCCCTACTGGAGTCTGCATTTTAAAACGGATGTGAACACTGAATGTCAGGCATCTATCTGTCTGACCTGAGAGTTCGGAGCGAAAAGGTGCGCAAGTTTTGCACAGTCTGGGGGAGCAGTGGCCATTGAAGCCACTGCTGCCGTTGTCATTAGAGGGAGGCTGGCTCCCAGTTTCTTCAGGTGAAAAAGGCACAGCAGGCAGTCCAGCCGCATCCTCCCTGCATCTTCCTTCACAAAGCTAGAGCATGGCATCCGGGCAGCGCCCACACCTGAGTGCAGGTAAGAAAGGTGTCAGTCATCTCTCCAGACTCCAGAACTCCTCCCCTGGTGCTATGCAGCCCTCAAGACACACGCTCAGTAACAGAGGACTCCAGTATTTGCTACTAAGTCTTTCAGCCATAAGGCAACCATGCCCAAAAGCCATGGAAGAGTCCTGGAGGAAAGGGGCTGGGGGTAAGAAATCTGGGGTTGGGCTGTGGAAATCAAACAGCCAGAAAAAGCTTGCCAGCCCATTGCTAAATGCGACTGGGTTTGCTGAGCACCGCAGACCCCGGCTGACTGCTAACATGTCCCACACTTGTCTTTGTTGGACTCCAAGCCTCTGAAAGGTTGGGTCTACTCTCCAGCTGATGCCTCCATCAGGCAAAGGCCCCTGGGTAAATAACTGCCGTAGGAGGGGTGGGAAATGGAAAAAAGAAAAAGAAAAAAAAAAAACACCCACTCCTGCAGCTTTCAGAGCTCCACGGATCCTTTCCAGGAGCCTCACCCTAGGCCCCTGGTCCCTGGCCTACAAAGGGTTCTGTATCAGCTCTGCAGGGGACCCCACCCCCCACCTCCAGGCAAGCGCCAGAGCATCAGCACTGGAGTCCATTGCTCAGCGCTTTGTGATGCTGCCTCTGAGTACCAGATGGCAGACAGTTACACAACACCACCGCCAAGCTCTTGAGATGGTACAGCCCCATACTGCCTGCTGCTGAAGGGCTTCATTCAGACTGGTCGGCATATGGGGAAGCCAAGGCCCTGGGGTGAGACGACTCCACACCAAGGCCTGTGATACGGGGGAGACTGGAGATTTTCTTCTAAATCTCACAAATTGTTTTGTCTCCCTCTCACATGGAGAAGAGTCCCTGGGCCTCGGAAGATTTCTAAAGAATCCAGTTTTGCTAAGTGTCATCACCTGACCCAACCAAAAGACATATTGGTCTAGGTTTTCAGGCCAGTAGGGGTCATTACAGTTGGTATTATAGGTAAGTCTTCTAAAACTTCTGGAGCCAGATGAATCTCCATGCAGATCCCAGCACTGTAGATCTCTTCTGGGATCCAAGATATCTGGAAGTCCCCCAAGCTTGGACAGACCTTTAAAACTGTTCAATAACCAGGATAGAGGGTGTGGCAGTGGCTCGGTCTTTGAAGTGTTTGCTTTGCAAACACAAGGTGCTAGTCCCATTGGCAGAACTCACTTGATAAAGAAACTGTACTCTCGTAAAGCCAGAGCTGAGGAGGCAGAGACAGGCAGGTCCCTAAGGTTCATAACCAGCTACCCTAGTCTGCCTGGCAAGTTCCAGGCCTGTGAGAGACCCTAGCTTAAAAATGCAAGATGGATGATACTTGAAAATAAGATCCAAGGTTATCCATCCTCCGGGCCCCACGCACGTGTGCACATCCACGCACAAATACGCATGTGCTCCAGCCTAAATAACACAGTGCCCTGGTGATCCCACAGGGGACATTAACTATATCATTGGTGACCAATCCAATGCAGTTCTCTCATAATCAATATAGGGAGAAAAAGCTTCAAGCAAAAGATTTTGGCAGGAAATGAAGAAGAAAAAAAAAGTCTGCTCTGAATTAGGACTTTCATTTAGCAGAAATAGATCTACCTCCTGGTTATGATTCTTTAGCCAGTTCATTCCTCTAGGTTCCAATTTTGCCCCCATGTAACATGACATTCTCGCCAAGCACCCGTCAGCTCACACATTTACGGGTCTAACCTTTCTTTTCCCCTGGACCTGGACTCTTTATACCACTCCCGTCATTGGTAGGTTCGGTAGAAGCTGTTCTCTCCTCACAGGCAAAGACATTAGAGAGCAAATTGGGTACTGGAGCAGATGTGAGTCATTCATGTTAGTATAAAAACTATGGAATAAAACCCATTATGGCCCCAGAAAGCTGTGTAAAGCAGCATATGGAGCAAATGTAAGCTGGAAACAGGAGGAAGCTGTGAAGTCCGATGCATATGCTCCCCGGCGGCGCTTGCTGTGGGCTTTCACACTTTGCTTTCCTTCCTTTTAGCTGTCGGCTTGCCACTCTCCTTCAGCTCACTGCACAGGCAGCAAGCACCCTTTGTTCCTTTCGGATCAGAGTCCTCACATCCCTCCTCCCTGCCCACCAGGAGTTTTCGGGGGGGGGGTGTGCGTGTGTGTTCTTGCCCGTGTGGCCGTATGTATATCTTGCCATCTGAACACTCACTGGATCTGTCACCACCCATGCGGTGCCCCCATGGGCAGCCTCATACATTTTGACCAACTGGGGCTAGGTGGTTTTCCGTGGAGGAGTTTGCCTCTTCTAGACCGGGGGGGAAAGGTGGACAGGGGCTAGGCAGATGGTGGCACAGTAAGATGAGAGGCTTACATGCTGTTCCAGCCCTGGCAGGGTTCCCCGGCAGAAAAAAAAAAAGTGATAGGGGAGAATTCAAAGATGTCTGTCTTTATTCCACAGCCCTACAGGCGCAAGTCTTTGAGTCAACCCCTGCAGTGGGCCCTGTTCAAGTTTTAGCTGTAAATAATGCATCAATCCCCCTCCGCCTCTAAGTTCTTGTTTCTTCTCTCTACCGTAGATCCTGTCAAAATCACATGTCCTGGGTCTTCTACCAGGGCTTTTTCTGCAATGAGCAATGGCGTCATCTGGGCTGAGTGTAAAGGAGAAGGAGCTGTTATCAACCCCACGCCCACCCTTTCTGCCACATTGGTATGTATTTGTCAGAGGGATGAAGTCAGATGGCTGGTTCTCTCATCTTTGGTGACTACATGGGTGGCTCTATCTCGGGGTTCAGGCACCTGGCGGTCACCTTATTTAATAATCGATATCTATTAAACATTTTACTTTATGCTCCCATACCTCAGCCCTTCCCTCCACCTTTTTTATTTTCTCATGCACTACTGTATAATTTGTTTCCTTGAAAGGGATTTAGATTTTTGCATTTCAAAAGCCTGTTTTTTTCCATTATTTTGAAATACCCCCCAAAACTTTCTTTGTTCCTTATCCAAATGCCAAGCGTAACATTTACTATTGCTACAATGATAGGTCTTGGCTGATTGTAGAAACTGATTTGCTTGTCGATGATGGTGGCCCCTCCCCCACGTTTTGCATAGAAAATGCAGTGTTCTCCCTAGTATGAAAGAGTGACTCGGCTTAATGAAAAAGAAAGAAAGAAAAACAGTAGACAAATCCTTAACTCAAATAACTAGTGGGGACTCTGACAGAGACGAGCAGAGTCTGAGGAGTAGGGGAACCCAATGACAGCTGTCATGCCCTGGATCCCACCTGCTTTATACATGATAGTCATCTGTATTGGAAGACCTCAGCTTGAGGGCCTCAGCCTACAGCTAAGTCTTAGGAGTAACTAAGCCCTCTCAAAACTGCCAGGAACTTTAAAGAGGTGCCAAGCATACCCTAAGGGTGTATAGCCACAAAATTAAGACACCCACCAGAGGCCAAGAGCACATTTTATATGGAGTCACTAGCTGAGAAGAGCCCAATGCCTCAGTTTGCTTGAGTTCCTTGTACTCATCTTTTTTTGGCACAATTGTCAACAATGTTCCCTTTCATGTTTGAGACATTTTAAAAATTGGTGTTTCTAAAAGAAAGATGGCTTAAAACATGGGTCCTTGCTCTTCAAGTTGATATATATGTATATATATGATATATATATATATATATATATATATATATATATATATGATAGAGAAGCCCTAAATAGTCACACAGGACTATTTTGACAATATGGACAAATCAAGCTGGCTTTGCATAAGGTAGCCATGTGGCACATAGCATGACGTCAGTGTATTTTCTGGTCCCATGCACC